TCAGTTAAATTGTGAACAGCTTTCCCTCGCACCCCCGCACCCTGATTCCTGTTATTAAAACAAATCACTAAGCCCTCAATGACCACTATCCTAGCAACCTACTTTTCTAACCTACCCTTACCTTTTGTGCCACATTACCCCACTTCCTCTAGCATGTAAGCTCATTGAGCAGGGCCCTCAATCCCTCTGTTCCTGTGTGTCCAACTCATCTGGTTACAACTACTTGTCTGTTAGTCCACCCATTGTACAGCGCTACGGAACTTGTTGGTGATTTATAAATAATAATAATAATAACAATAAAAAAAACACTGGCATATCTTGCAACAAGATCAGGATTTTAAAACTTTTGTAGGAACAAAACCTAAACTAATATATAGAGGTGCTCAAAATTGAAAATAATTTTAATAAAAGTTTTATTGAGAAAGAAAATAAAAGATTTTTTTTTAACCAAGACTATCAATACTAGAAAAGGATTTTTTTTTATTGTGGTGATTATATGGAATGTAAAATAAAAGGAAATACAGGAAGGAAGATTGGAACTTTCCACTCCCATAGCAACAAACAGAAATTTTTCATCTATTCATTTATAACCTGTAACACCAAAAATGTTATACATGTTCTCATATGCCCGTGTGGTTTTCAATATGTTGGGAAAACCTCTAGGGCTCTTAAGATTAGGATATGGGAGCATATATATATATATATATATATATAAAACATTAAGAGAGGATATGCAAACCATAGTGTATCCGAACATTTTTTAGAACATTTTTTAGGGTGGTGTGTGTGTGGGGTGATGTGTGGTGGTGTGTGTGTGGGGGGGGGTGGTGTGTGTGTGTGTGTGTGGGGTGATGTGTGTGGTGATATGTGTAGGGCAGGGGTGCTGTGTGGTCCCCCCTCTCCCCCCCACTGTTTTCTTTCCTCCCATCCCTCCCTCATTTTTTTCTCCCATCCCATACTCAGTTTTCTCCCCCCATCTCTCCCTCAGTTCCCCCCATACCTCCCTCAGTTTTCTCCCCCTCATACCTCCCTCAGTTTTCTTCCCCCCTTATCTCCCTCAGTTTTTCTTCCCCCCCCTTTACCTCCCTCAGTTTTCTCCTCCTCCCATTGAGCTCCTACCTTGTAGCGTGGCCGAGCGCACCGCGGAGCTCAGTTTCCTGTACCCGGCGGACAGGAAGTGCTCTCTCTCTGAGCACTTCATTTCCGTCCGCCCGGGTACAGGAAACATAAGTTCCTGTACCGCGGTGCGCTCGGCCACGCTACACAGAGTGCCTGGCAGGAGGGAGCGCTGTGCGCTATGCGCTCACCTCCTGCCGGTCACTCCGGCTTTGCGCCCGCCGGGCCGGTGCGACCTAAGGCGGCCACTTGTGCCGCCTTATGGATGCGCCGGCGGAGCGCACCCTCCCTCCCTCCGGCGACCTATGGCCGCGTGCCCACAGAGGGTGCTCGGCGTGCCACCTGTGACACGCGTGCCATAGGTTCGCCATCACTGGGCTAGGGTCTTTTCGGATAAAACTGTAGTGTGGTAAGAGTCCTTATGAACCATTTTTTTTAATGACAACTTAATGAAGCTGTCAAATGAGGACCTGTGAATCATCTATTTCCTAAACTAGACACTCTAATGTATTGATCCTCTTGCTCAGTTGCGCACTGAGGCCTCAGACTCTTCTTTCTCATACTGGTCAGAGCCAGTTTGTGCTGATCTATGAAGGGTGTAGTACAAGATCCTTAATTTCTTGGCAATTTCTCATATAGAATAGCCTTAATTTCTCAGAACAAGAATAGACTGATAGGTTTTAGAAGTGTAACCCCTCTGGAACACAGTGATTTCTGCTTTAAGAACTATCCTGCAGTTCCTATGGAGTGACCAGCAGAGGGGGATCTCCTGCAGCACCTGGCCTGATAAATGTAGGTTTCCATTTGAATTTTGGCGGGAAGTTTTGGCAGTTACAGTTCAGAGAAGGAAGGAGAAGGAACCCTGCTAAGCAGCAGAAAGAAGTTTCCGGAGTGAGAGCTGCTGGGTCCCGTGGGAAGCCCTACTGGAAGGAGGATTTCAGCAGGCATCTACATACTGACTCAGGCACAGAGCGTTTTTTTTGCTAAGGAAGGAGAGAGAAAATCCCAGAAGCAGCAAGCTTCTGGGACAATGCATGTGGCTAGGGGATGCAGTGTGTATGTGTTTCTGGGTTGTAAAGTATGTGTGTGTGTGTGTGTGTGTGTTTATATAGGGTCTGTGGAGTGTGTGGGCCTAGGGGATGTAGTGTGTGCATGTAACGAGCTCTACTGTGTGTTTGTGAGTGTATCTAGGGGCTCTAGTGTGTGTATTCATATAAGAGCTGTAGAGCACATGTGTATAGGTGTGGTAATGTATGCATAGGTGGTGTAGTGTGTACAGGGGGTGCAGAATATGTATTTATAGGAGATTTATAGGAGATATAAATTATTGTGTATGAATGCAGGGGGTATAATGTGTGTTTATAGGGGTATAATGTATGAAAGTGCAGGGAGTGTAGTGTATGTTTACTGTGTGTAACTGAGTGCCGGGTGTATAGTCTGTATATAAGGGGTATAGAGTGTGTGTAGTGTGTTTGTGTGTAAGTGCAGATGGTGTAGTGTGGATATAGAGTGTGTGTTGTGTGTTAATGCAGGGGCTGTAGTGTGTATATAGGGGTATAGAGTGTGTGCAGTGTGTTTCGTGTGTTAGTGCAGAGGGTGCAGTGTGTTTGTGTGTTAGTACAGGGGGTGCTGCGTGTGTAGTATGTTTGTATGTTAGTGCAGAGGGTGCAGTGTGTGTAGTATGTTTGTGTGTTAGTGCAGGGGGCAGTATGTTTGGGTGTTAGTGCAGTGTGTGTGTGTATGTGAAGGGGTGTGTATATAGTGAATATGGCCTCGATTTAAAAATTAATAATAAAATAAAATAATCCCCTTTACTCCCCCTTATAACTTTGCAGGGGGGGAGAGGGAGCATTGAGATACCCGGTGGTCCAGTGAGAAGGGCCACGGCACACACCGATACCTGATGGTCCAGCCGGCAGGTAATTTGGTCTGTACCTCCGCAGGTTACAGACCACGTCTCTCTCCCTCTCACTACCACCGTTTTTTTACCGCGGGTTACCAACGCTCTGATAATCTCTCGGCTCGCAAGAGGGAGAGAAGTAAGTTGTGTGCCACATGGAGGGTGTCCGGCTCACTGCCCAATCTCCCCTCCAGCCCATGATGGGACAGAACTCCATCTTGGGGCCGGTGCTTCGCTGCATTGGCTGGCCGGGGAGATATCTTGATCTACCCTGCCAGCCATGGTCCATGGCCATCGTGGCCCACCGGGCATTTGCCCGGTTTGCCCAATGGCCAGTCCAGGCCTGATCTCTAGCATAGAATTGACATGTTCCTGCATGTCCTGACCTTTTTCCAGCCTTATCTTATACAGTTTGTGCAGCAGATATATTATACTGTTTAAGTTTGAACGCTCCTGCAGTTTTTGTAGTGCAGTCCACATACCTTTAGCTGTGCTTTCTATTCTTATATGAATGAGTTGATCATCCTCCACTAACAGGCTTATAACTGCTTTTGCGTGCCTGTTCTTTTTGTCCCATCCTTCAGGGTTGTCAATGGGTCTGTTTGTATCCAGTACCTGCTACAAGCCATCTTTGGATAACAGCATTTCAAGCTTACATTTCCAATTCCCAATTAGTATTGCTGAGCTTTGCTATTGCAAACTTCACATCTGAACCACTTGCTATATTTCAGTAAATTGGATGCAGCTCTTGTTTCCTCACTCAGTATTTACTTGGATCATAGATGCAACACTTACTTATTTGTGGTTTTCCATTAGTGTTTGAGCCCAGGGCCGCCATCAGAAATTTTGGGGCCCCTAACACAGCTCGAGGTCTGGGCCCCCGGGTGCCAGCCTCCAAATCCCGCCCACAGGAATACACACACACACACAGCAAGATACACACATACTGAAACAGACACACACATATACGGACACATACAGACACACACATACTGAAACAGACACACACACATATACAGACACATACAGACACACACACACTGACGTACATACATACTCGCATACTGACACACACACACACACATACATACTGACAAACAGACATACATACAAACTGACATACAGACATACAAAATGGCATACATACACATACATACTGATATACATACATACATACTGACATACACACACATACAGATAGATATATACATACACACATACATACTGGCATACACACATGCATACTGACATACATACACACACATACATACTGATAGATATATACATACATACAGGCATCCATACTGACATACACACACACACACACAGACATACATACTGACATATATATATATATATATACATACATAGATATAGACACACATACATACACAAACAGACATACATACACATACATAGATAGCTAGATAGATAGATAGACACATACATACTGATAGATATATACACACATACATCCAGGCATACATACTGACACACACACATAATGACATATATACATACATACATAGATATATACACACATACATACTGACAGACATACACAAACAGACATACATACTGACATTTATATACATACACACATACATACATAGATATATACACACATACATACTGACAGACATACACAAACAGACATACATACTGACATTTATATACATACACACATACATACATAGATATATACACACATACTGACAAAGAGACATACACAAACAGACATACATACATGCAGACACATACATACATTCTGATATACATACACCTCATTTTAAAGCCACCCTCCTTTCCCTTACCTTGTTGCAGGAGGGTGGCTGGGGATGATGGGAGCAGATGCCTCTCCTCTGCCCTCCTCGGCTGTCTCTCTCCCCCCATGCGGAGTAAGGTGGGAGGAAGTGACCCACCATCACTTCCTCGCAGCAGCATTTGCGGTGCAGCCGCATTTTTCTTTAAGGGGCCCGGTCACACTATTATGCGGCTGCAGCGCTGACTTGGCCCCTGAAGATATAGGGCTCATCGGGTGGCCCTAAATGCTTGGGCCACCTGATGGGCCCTGGTGTAGATGCACCTGTGGTAGTTTTGCCGCTCCACGTGAGGCCCGGGCCCCCCAGGGCCGCTGGGCCCATGACAACCGTAATGATTGTCACCCCCTGATGGTGGCCCTGTCTGAGGCCATAATCTGTTGGTTATGCATAAAAAAAACACTGGTAGATTGGGAAGAAGCATATTAGGCTTTACTTGTGTGGATAAACAGCAAACATTTAGAACATATCAGTTACTTGAAACAGCAGCCAGCAGGGTGAAAGGTAAAAGGAAGAGAGACAAAGAGTAAGTAAAAAAAACAAAGAACTTCCTTCCTGTGAGTACCAACAAGTTCCTATGCATATATAAACAGTACTCTAAACTGCACAGTGCCATTTACAGCTTAATTGCTAAGTACAGTTGCAAGAAAAAGTATGTGAACCCTTTGGAATGATATGGATTTCTGCACAAATTGGTCATAAAATGTGATCTGATCATCATCTAAGTCACAACAATAGACAATCACAGTCTGTTTAAACTAATAACACACAAATAATGAAATGTTGCCATGTTTTTATTGAACACACCATGTAAACATTCACAGTGCAGGTGGAAAAGTATGTGAACCCCTAGACTAATGACATCTCCAAGAGCTAATTGGAGTGAGATGTCAGCCAACTGGAGTCCAATCAATGAGATGAGATTGGAGGTGTTGGTTACAGCTGCCCTGCCCTATAAAAAATACACACCAATTCTGGGTTTGCTTTTCACAAGAAGCATTGCCTGATGTGAATGATGCCTCGCACAAAAGAAGACCTACGATTAAGAATGGTTGACTTGCATAAAGCTGGAAAGGGTTATGAAAGTATCTCCAAAAGCCTTGCTGTTCATCAGTCCACGGTAAGACAAATTGTCTATAAATGAAGAAAGTTCAGCACTGCTGCTAATCTCCCTAGTGGCCGTCCTGTAAAGATGACTGCAAGAGCACAGCGCAGACTGCTCAATGAGGTGAAGAAGAATCCTAGAGTGTCAGCTAAAGACTTACAAAAGTCACTGGCAAATGCTAACATACCTGTTAGCGAATGTACAATACGTAAAACACTAAACAAGAATGGATTTCATGGGAGGATACCACAAATGAAGCCACTGCTGTCCAAACAAAATATTGCTGCACGTTTACAGTTTGCACAAGAGCACCTGGATGTTTCACAGCAGTACTGGCAAAATATTCTGTGGACAGATGAAACCAAAGTTGAGTTGTTTGGAAGAAACACACAACACTATGTGTGGCGAAAAAAAGACACAGCACACCAACAGCCAAACCTCATCCCAACTGTGAAGTATGGTGGTGGGGGCATCATGGTTTGGGGATGCTTTGCTGCATCAGGGCCTGGACGGATTGCTATCATCGAAGGAAAAATTAATTCCCAAGTTTATCAAGACATTTTGCAGGAGAACTTAAGGCCATCTGTCTACCAGCTGAAGCTCAACAGAAGATGGGTGTTTCAATGACCCAAAGCATAGACGTAAATCAACAACAGAATGGCTTAAACAGAAGAAAATACGCCTTCTGAAGTGGCCCAGTCAGAGTCCTGACTTCAACCCGATTGAGATGCTGTGGCATGACCTCAAGAAAGTGATTCACACCAGACATCCCAAGAATATTTCTAAACTGAAACAGTTCTGTAAAGAGGAATGGCCAAGAATTACTCCTGACCGTTGTGCACGTCTGATCTGCAACTACATGAAACGTTTGGTTGATGTTATTGCTGCCAAAGGAGGTTCAACCAGTTATTAAATCCAAGGGTTCACATACTTTTTCCACCTGCACTGTGAATGTTTACATGGTGTGTTCAATAAAAACATGGCAACATTTCATTCTTTGTGTGTTATTAGTTTAAGCAGACTGTGATTGTCTATTGTTGTGACTGTGATCAGATCACATTTTATGACCAATTTGTACAGAAATCCATATCATTCCAAAGGGTTCACATACTTTTTCTTGCAACTGTATATACACATTATGCAGTACATGCTGTTGTATTTCCAAACATGGATTGCCTGGTATCCGGTGCCTGTTATTTGTGTTTCCAATCAAGGAACAAGTCCCTGATTCCCCAGCACTATACACCCCTGACTAGAGTAACTGGGGACCCTCTCCTTCACCCCAACACACAGTGAAGCTGCAGAAGGAGGAGAAGGCAGTTTGTGACTGTGTTGGTATATGTGTGACTGTATTATTATGTGTATGTGATTGTGTTTATGCATGTGTGTGACTGTCTGTGTGATTGTCTATGTATGTATGTGACTTTGTGTATGTAACATGAGCGATATTGTGTTTATGTATGTAAGTTATTGTATGGATGTCTGTGTGTATGTTTCTGTGTTTATGGATGTATATGACTGTGTTTGCGATTGCTTGTGTAAGTTGGAATTTGTGTCTACATAAGACTGTGTATTTGTTTGTGTGTATGTGTCTAGTATTGTTTGTTATGTTTATATGTGAATACTGTTTTTTGTGATTGTATGTTTATGTATGTGACTGTTTGTGATTGAGGCTATGTGTATAACTATGCATGTGACTATGTCTATGTATGTATGTTACTGTGTCTGCGACTACATTTCTGTATGTATGTGTAGCGGAGCTCCCTGTACCCCTGGCTGGGTACCTCCGCCAAGGACTGCTTCCTAGCTGGAACAGGGGACAAACCGCAGCACTTCTGCCCACAGTCAGCGTGGCTTGACTGGGCCCTGGAACCGCTCCTTCCTGGAGCCAAATGTGAAATTAGCTCTAGTCCTTTCAAGGACATTCCCAGTTGAATCCCCTGCAAGCTGGAACAGCAGACACAGGAGTAAATCTTCTTTCCCTCCAATAACAGGACGACACACAGTTTTGGAGTGTAAGCTGGAATAGGCTTTTAATGGAGGCACACTGGCCTTTTATGCAAGTTTCCCAACAAGGGCGACACCCAGGTGGACCTTGTTAGGCACAGGGACACAAAGTGAACAAACCAATAAAAACAGAGTCATACAGTGAGACACTCCCATACACAAACAATAGAATCCCTCCTCTGTGCTTGGGAGATAATTGAATCAGGAACTGTACTAATCTAACCTAATTATCTCCAAGCACAGAAAAAAACATACAGTTATATAAAACCCCAAAAAGTACCTTAAAACCACACAAAACCCCATAAAAGTCACATCTCCGATAGCCCTGATCTGGGTGAACAACATATCCAAAAATCACCCAGATTGGTTCAGGTGTTCCGAAATTTCCTGGAAGTCATAGTTTTGACCAACCACAAGCATGGCCCCATGCCCACAACAATTCCAGGGAAATCAGTGCTAACAGTCGGTCAAGTTTGGTAGTCTTTTATAGGTTTCCCTGCCGGGCCCTAGTCTGTGGGCAGGAGGCTGGCAAGCAGGCTCCTCCAGGAGCTTGTGACAAACCATGTAAAAAGGGGTGTTTGCCAAAGTATGTGACCCTGTGATTGTGTTTGCATCTATATGGATGTACAAACATGTTGTTTCCTGGGTGGATAGTTATATATGTATGTGTGTGAAAGGGTGATAAGGGGGGATTCATAGCTGTGACTGGCCTACATTGCTCTTTGCAATGCATTATAGGTAAAATCTATTATTGACTGCCCAACATTTATTAAGGGTTACTTTTCACTTAATAAAACATCCCACGATTAGATATTGGACTATCTATTGAACAGACATATTAATGTTGCCAATAACATATAGGATTGTTCAAAAAGAGATGTGTGATTTTTTTTATTTTTTGAAATTCAAAGTTAATTGGAAATTCAAAGACAAAAGTTAGAAACATAGCTGAATTGATTAACTTAATTATTTTACCTCAAATTTTAAATTCTCACATTCTGAATTTCTAACAATTCACACTTGAGCAGACATCCTTGTTTTAACTATTTTGTAGAGCAATTAAATTCACTGTTTTAATTTTGATGGTTATAGCGTGAAATAAAAAAATATGTTGTAACACTTAATATTATAATTAAAAAAAAACGTTTTTGACTTGTTAATATATTGCTTCTGAAAACTCAATAATGGTATTCTAAAATGAAAACAATAATTAAGGCTTAGTTTTGATGAATCTGAAAATGTTTGACTTGTTAGTATATTCCTTCTGAAAACTCAAGAAAGGTGTTCTAAAATGAAAACAGTAATTAAGATTTATTTTTAAAGTTTTTGATGAATTTGAAAATGTTCCACAAATTACAAAATTAATCACTTTTGCGTTCCCTTTGTACTCTCATTGCTGCTTTAGCGATTCTGTCCATTTTTTTAAATGATGAAACACGATAGTATATTCACATTGGCAAACTATTGGAACATTTGTTCCGTACAAGTAATTGCTCTGTCTAAATGGCATGAAATACTTCAGCACAAATTATTTTTTTTCATGTGTTCCTGAATGAGTTACATTGCCAATTTCAATTAACATAATGATTTCCCATCCCTAATTAGAAATGGAATTTGCTTGCAAACATTAAATGCAATCTCTGTAGAAACTATGGGAGAACTATTTTGTAGTACTTACTTATGAACCGAACATTAGAACAGAGAAAACCTTTCATATTAAATACATTTGTTATGTACACAAACATATACATTATGTATGGAAATATTTAAATATATCATAGAATAAGTAAAACAATTCTTGTTTTTTTGAACACTCACATTTAAAAGACACTCTACAATATATGTGCTTTATATTGTCCTTTCTAGCTTGTTTCTCCTACAACGATGGTTTGTTTTTTTACCCAATATCCCACAGAGGCAATGAGGACGAAATCAGAGATGAAGACCGGTCACCTTGAAGATTTTGGTGATTTTCTAATGCAACTAGAGATGCACTAGATGTTGACGATGCTTGAGACTTAGGCCTTGATGTAATATTGTTGGATAAGCTTTCCAAATGATATTATACTTTTGGATAAACACATTAAAATATCAAAAATATATCACATAAAAAAGATATTTATAATTATTTTTCATATTAAGAAATCATTTCAAATGTATATCCAAAACTATTAAGTCATTTGAAAAACTTCTACAATAATATTAAATAAAGGCCTTAGTTCCCTGGTGTCCCACTTTTGGAAGATAAGCAGGCATTCTGCCATGCATTAATGCCAGGCTGATCTGCCAGTTATTCAGCTGGTCCATCCCTTTTGAGGCGGAGCCAGTTACGCAATTGTGTGGACAACAGAGTTGGGAGGTATGTAATATGGTCCACACGTTTCCCATTCAAATGTATAGCAGGAAACTTCATCTACTTCAAGGGATAATCTCGATCTTATGACTGGTCTCTATGTACCATTTAATGCATTTATAGTACTGGTCAAGGAAGAAATTTGGTTACTTGGAGTAAGATGTCTCAGACGTTAACAATCATGGGACTACAGATGCAAAGTTGTATAAAACAGCAGGATTTACATGTTCCCTCAGTCCACAAAATAGGGCCTGTTATGCAGAAATCAATATTGTTGGAATGTCCCCAACAGCAAGAAGATAAAACAATACATAGCTAACAGCTTTTAGTGCAGCAGCAAATAGCAGCAAAGCACAACTCAAAAAAGCATAACTAAAAAGAAACACATTGAAATAATATGAAAGGAATTCTGGTTTGTCCCCATAAAAAACACAAAAAAACAACTATTGGGGATCCCCAATTCCAGAGCGGTTTCAAATTTGTCCTTCCTCCCAAATGACAGATAAAATGAAAGTACCTAATATTTATTACAGAATGGGAGTAAAAAGAGTTCTTTAATTTTGGTGTGGAGTTGGAATTTGGTTTAATGGGTTAGTGGCTAGGAGCTTATAATAGGGCATGGGGAATGCCACACCAGAATGACATCATATAGCTAGAAAGGCTATCTGCTAAGTATACTACGGATAGGATTTACCACCAAAATGGGCCTTTTATTGTGTCTAGAAACTCTCTAATAAATGCCTAATGGTGCTGTGGTTTCATATAATTTTCCATGGAGTGGTTCCACTTTGGTTGAATACATTTTTTCCTTTAAGAAGGCCTCACATTCTCAAGGTAAAAGTATTCATAAATGTAATACTAGTGTCGGCACTAATAAATCTTCCTGAATATGTTCAAATAATTACAGTAATTCTAGAGTACTACAAATGTCATGGGGACATACATACTTTTTAATGCAAAGAATGTAATACAATCTTTAAAGTATTATTGAATTTAATTTTACTTTAAATACTGGTCCTATTGCCAATTTCTAAATGCTGAAAACAGACAAGACACCTAGTAGGAAACAGAGTGTGTTGATGCATGCAAATGAAACACAGAAATAACCAAAAAAAGATACTTCAGCCAAATTCTTTTTAATTTTTTGAGACAATATTTAACAAGGAAGATAAGTGCCAAATTCACCACATGTGCCTTGTCTCATTTTGCATCTCAAAACATTTTTCTTAGTCTCACAAACATTTCTTAAAATATTACATTTTTCCTCTTTAGTTTGCATTTTTTCTTGTCCTAAACTTAAACATTATACAATAATATTGCAGAAATGATGTATTCAGCACAACTGACAGTTTAGGAATTAATCTTTCTAAAATAAATCTGAAAGCATCTTTGTGGGATCACTTACTGGTCAAAGAAAAAATTTCAGTAAGTCATATCGTAATTTAAACAGTTTCCATTTTTCCAATTAAAAGGTTTATCTGAAATAGACCTGACACCATGTTATTGAGGAGTCATTAATCTTTAAGCATGGATGAAATTGTATAGTTTATTACATTATTTATAAGAATTGTGAACAGGCAAGAAATTTAGTTTTGGACGAACCACTTCATCCGAAAATAAAATAAATATTGGACGGTAGAATTTTGTGCATGTGGTGGTTCAGCATTTCAGAGTTTCATCCCCAGAAAAGAGTTTGGAAAATTAATCAGATGAATCAAAAGAGCACGAAAATGCGCCAGTGAGTGTACAAAAAATATAAGCACAATGTAAATATATTTTATAGGCACATTTCCCTTGCCATTTGGTTCACAGATCAAGTGAGAAAAAGTAATCAACAAATGAAAAGGAAGATAAGCAGTAATAAAAAGGAAAATTGTTTTATACTTACCATAATTTTCTTTTCCTGATCATTATTCATGGCAGTATTTACCAATGGGTTAGCTCCTCCCCCACAGCAGAAAGGACAGGAAGTAGAACTCTGAAACTGGTATAACTAGATCCTCCCCCTTCCCATCAGGCAGTCACTAGTTGTAACTAGCTTCACAATTCTTATAGTAAATGGGTGGGAATGTAAATGCTGCCATGAATAATGATCCAGCAAAGAAAATTACAGTAGCTCTATTATGTCAACAATAGAAGATAATGTCCTACTCTGATATACATTAAACACTAAATTAATGGCATCATCAAATCAGAACATTGACAAAGGTATAACTTCCAGAGATCAGACTGGAACAATCAGATATCGTTGGATGAGAACTGTCACACCATGTTATTAAACAGGGGGATAATTACACTGAGAATCCTACTATTTTCTAGCATATAGAGGACACATACTGAGGCTATGTTTTCACAGCGACTGTCACTAGTCACCACCTCCCTCACTCTGTCCCTAGTCACTCCTCCCTCTGTCACTAGTCACCCCTTTCCTCACTGTCACTAGTCACCCCCTCCCTCTCTGTGTCACTAGTCACACCCTGCCTCACTCTGTCACTAGAGTGAGGGGGTGACTAGTGACAGAGTGAGGGGGTGACAGCTGACAGAGTGAGGGAAGGGGTGACTAGTGGCAGAGTGAGGGAAGGAAGGGGTGACTAGTGACAGAGTGAGGGAGGTGGTGATTAGTGACAGAGGGAGGGATGGGGTGACTAGTGACAGTCACCACCTCCTTCACTCTGTCACTAATCACCCCCTCCCTCACTCTGTCACTGTGTCACCCCCTTCCTCACTGTGTCACCCCCTTCCTCACTCTTTCACTGTGTCACCCCCTTCCTCACTCTGGTACCTATCACCCCCTCTCTCACTCTGTCACTAGTCACCCCCTCTCTCACTCTGTCACTAGTCACCCACTCTGTCACCAGTCGTTCCCTCACTCTGTCACCAGTCACCCCTTCCTTCCCTCACTCTGCCACTAGTCACCCCTTCCTTCCCTCACTCTGCCACTAGTCACCCCTTCCCTCACTCTGTCACCAGTCATTTCCTCACTCTAGTGACATAGTGAGGGAGGGTGTGACTAGTGACAGAGTGAGGGAAAGGGTGACTAGTGACAAAGTGAGGGAGTGATGAGTGACAGAGTGAGGGAGGGAATGGGTGACTAGTGACAGTGAGGGGGGGTGACTAGTGACAGTGGGGGGGTGACTAGTGACAGTGAGGGGGTGACTAGTGACAGTGAGGGGGGTGACTAGTGACAGTGGGGGGGTGACTAGTGACAGTGAGGGGGTAATTAGTGACAGTGAGGGGTGACTGGTATTTTGGTGGTGTGGTGACACAGTGGGGGTGACTAGTGACACGGTGAGGGGGGTGACTGAGTGAGGGGTGACTGAGTGACGGTGAGGGGTGACCCCTGAGTGACACAGTGCGGGGGTGACTGGTTACACGGTGAGGTGGGGTGGGCTGAGTGACAGTGGAGGGGTGACTAGTGACGGTGAGGGGGTGACTGAGGCTGACACAGTGAGGGGTGACTGGTGACAGTGGGGGGGTGACTGTAGTGACACGGTGGGGGTGATGGTGACGGTGAGGGTGACTAGTGACGGTGAGGGGGGTGACTGGTGACGGTGGGGGTGACTAGTGACAGGGGGGTGACTAGTGACGGTGGGGGGGTGACTAGTAACAGTGGGGGGGTGACTAGTGACGGGGGTGACTAGTGACAGGGAGGTGACTAGTAACAGTGCGGGGGTGACTAGTGACAGGGGGGTGACTAGTGACGGTGGGGGGGTGACTAGTAACAGTGGGGGGGTGACTAGTGACAGGGGGGTGACTAGTGACACAGTGGGGGGGGTGACTAGTGACAGTGGCGGGGGTGACTAGTGCCTACCTGTCTCTCTGCTCCCTCTGGTCTCCCAGGCTGCTGCTGCTCCTTCCCCTGCTGGCTGATCGGGCTCTGTGTGAGAGGAGTAAACAGGAAGTGAGGTCACTTCCTGGACCCGCCTCTCCCCATCACACAGAGCCTCGCGGGACAGGGAGAAGGAGACCTTGCCGAGAGGCGGTGAAGCTGCCAGTTCTCATTGGGGGTAGGGGGTGGGGGTGATTTACAGAGCGGTAGGTTGTGGGCCCCGTGCTGCATCAGGGGCCCCACAACCTATCAATTAAATAGTTTTATTTTATTATTTTTTGCCGTTCCAGTTGGAAAGATCTCTGATCTCTCCAGCTGGAGCATGGCTGTGCTGCCGGGCCCCTGAATGCCTCGGGCCCTCGGTCCATGACCGATATGCCCGAGTGGTCAGTCCGCCCCTGCATAGAACATATACTGGACACACACAAACTGAGACTGAGTCTTCAGACCAATTCATACATAGAGCATATAGTGAAAACATACTAATGCTGTACCACAAACCAGTTCATGTACAGATACTGAGGCCCAGTGATCTCATATGCAGTATATTTTCTTCCACTCTCTGAGAAAGCCTGCTTATTTGTGATAATGCACAGATAACAGCAATCAATGCTACATGCCTTGATAGAAACAAGTGTCTGTGCGGACTTGGAGTTAGGTTTTAACCTGTCATATACATGTGTGTACTTTAATCAGTCATCCAGGAAAGTGTTCTCTTACCTTGGATATTTCTCTGTCTTCAGGACTGTGATATTCTAGCAGACTTTTTCTAGCCAGGATATCCATTATTTTTTTTTTTGTGGAAATTTGTTTGTTTATTTATTTGTAGGTTCAGCGAATGTAAAGCAGTAAGACTCGCAGGTGTAGTCATGTGTGTAATATGTGCATAACATAAATAAGGAAAACTCGTTATCCGCGAGAAAAACATACATCTTGCAGGCCCATTGGCCAGCTCGTTTACGGAATAAGTGGACACGCAGGTCCGCATCGACTTTCCGGGAAGTGAATCCAGTTAACCTCACCCCACAAAAGGGAACATATATGCTTAATTCTGTTATAACATTGAAAATAACAACGTACTTTCTTTTAGTGAAACTCCAGGTATCAATCGTAAGTGGAAGCATGACATAACATGTACCTTCTGTTTAGTGCTTGGGGTCTAGAATTTCCCTGTGACTGTTACCTGTGGTAGAGCTTGTGTGTTCTTCGGGAATCCCTGCATCCCAACTGTGGTGCCTGATTCCCTGTATCCGGTCATTGTGTGGTAAGTGTCGAAGTTCTGTTTAGTATGAGTGTTACTCTTGTACACGGATGAGACGAGTTATGTGTCTATCTAATTGCCAGATGTTCATCATGTTTGCTATATTCCCGTCTAAGCGCCGGGTATCCAAACCACAGAGTGTCCCAGATCTCTGCGCCTTTGATTAAATGTCAGTGTGTTTGTCAGTATCCCTCTGCAAATGCACGTTTGTTCATCCCTGTTACCCTACTGGTGTATTGTGTGATTTGTCTGACTCGGCCTCGATCCCGGTCTCCCCGGGCCCCGGTATGCAGATAGAAGGGGTATGGAAAAGGTTAGAAGCGGAAGGTAGTAGGCAATTAGGCTACTTGGGGTGTGATCCCTCTAACAAGGCTCACATCAGCCTGCGCCCCGGCCGCGGGTCCCTGCATGTCTCCATCCCTACGGCAACGGGAAATGTATAAGAACCATGGCATCCAAATCTCCGCGTGCCTGGTTCCTCGTCCTGTCAAAGTAGCATGTGCTTCTTCTGCTCCCTGGATCTCTTCTACTCTACGGATCCACTCTTTTTTGGTAGGAATTTCACTTTTTTTCCAGTGGGCTGGAATGTTGACCTTGGCGGCATTAAGCAGGTGTCGTAATATCGATTTCTTGTAAGACGATATGGATTATGTCGATACGTGTAGCAATGCCAGTTCCGCATTCCACTCCGGTAAGTCTCCCAGGATAAGCACAACTGTTTCCTTAATCATTTCCTAGTATGGGGTAATAGCTCTGCACTCCCACCAGATGTGTAGCACTGTGCCGCGTGTTTCCTGGCACCTCCAGCACACCGGGGGAATTGAAGGGAATATACGGTGCAGTAAAGTTGGTGTTCTATATCATAAGGAGATCAGTTTGTAGTTCATTTCCTGGTAATATGAACTCATAGAGCTCTTAAGCTGCCAAAGCAACGCTGTATCCCATTGCTGTGTTGTGAGTGATTTTCCGAGCTGTTCTTCCCATTGTCGTTTGAACGTTGCAGCCGTAGGCGTACCTCCGATTAGTAGATGTTGATATAGTGCCGAGATTGCGTGCTCTAATGTGGTGCCTCGATCACAGAGGTCTTCAAACCACGTAAGGTCCCTGTGCAGTCGATATTTGTGCGGTAGTAATTCATAGAAATGGTTCAGTTGTAGATATCTAAATTGGAGGAGAGGGGTCCGCTGTCTGTCACCCAACAGCGAAGCAAGATCCAGCAATCTCCCATCTTGTGTATGGGTATGTATGCACCAGTGCCCTGGATGGGCAATGCTCTGGGAGGGAGTCCCCCCCATATGGCTGTATTATCCGTGATCGGCATCATTGGGCTGGGTACGGGGGATACATGGTCTTGTGTTCTCAACGTTTTCCAACCATGTAGGGTCTGTAGGATAAGTCCTTCATCAGCAAGATGAGAGGATATCCATTATTAGCACTCTTTTGCACAATGCATCCTTTCATGTATAAACTTACCTAAATGCTCACCATGCAAACCTCCTAAATGTGACCTATTTGTTAGAAGGGAGCCTAATATAAGCAGCTGGGACAGACTGAAAGAACAGAGACCCAGGTGCCTATACTAGTTTTAATCTAAATTGCTAATACACTTACCTGAACCATTGCAGGCCTGTGTTTCAGCGTCAAAATGGGGATTTGAACAACTGACAGCCTAAACTGTTTAAACTATAGGATTCCATCTGTACCCCATATGCCGTTCGTCATCAGCAGTAGGAGAAGATTTAAACCAAACCCCAGACATGTTGGAATACATAGAAGAGGCATACCCAGGTAGTCACCTTAAGGAAGTGCTGTTTACTGGTTCTTTAGGGATAAAGGCTTAGACTCGGCTGGGCCTCATGTATGCAGTGGACTGCTGTCATCACCTCAGGGAGAGAGATAGGTCAGACCCATGGTTGCTGAAGGAAGTACCCAGGTTGGCAACTCTTACAGATGTTTTGTTTGCTGGGTCCTCAGGGATAAGAGGCTGAACCCTGGCCTGGATACAAGGAGGCAGTAGATCACATTCATCCCCTGAGGGGTTACCCAGGCTGGCACCTCAGAGATATGCTGTTGCTGGGTCTTCAGGGATAAAAGGCTAAACTCTGGCATGCAGTGGACCATTTTCATCCACTGAGGGAGAGGTTGGGTCCGACCTCCGGTCACTAAAGGATATATTGACAATTATGTGACAGAGGAGAACAGGAGAATTATCCTACATTAGGTTCTCCTGCTCTCTCTCAACACTATTCCCCCAAGAAGTGCATTTTGCTGAGGGAATATAGGAATGATGTAAATGATGTCCCTCCAGAAAGATGCTGAACCTCGGGAAAAGAAGCCATCATTATCAGAATCATTAGAGAGGATGCTGATTAAAGAGACACTCCACTGCCCAAATACAAAATAAATACAAATCACTGTTTAGTAGATATACCCCTAATGACAGCTTGCATGCATTTAATTATGCATTTTTCCAGGGGTACATCTAAAAACAGCATGCAAAAATTGCGGTTCTCTTGTCTGCTGCCTTTGCAAGCCTTCCCTTTCTAACCCCAGACTTTCTGTGGCTGTCCAATCAGAGACTTCCCAATGCAGCTCAATTATAAATCTTTGCAAGGCAGGTGCTCTGGACAATTGCTGTCTCTTAAGTTTAGATCCACCAAACCAGGATGCAACAGG